GAGAGAGAGAGAGAGAGAGAGAGAGAGAGAGAGAGAGAGAGAGAGAGAGAGAGAGCCCTGCAGCATGCACCGTGTGAGTGACTGGGAGCACAAGGGCAAGCGCTAACCTCAAAAAAGAAGAGGGGGGATGTTCTATTCAAGTACGAGGGCTTTCCTCTGCACGATCAGAATAGAACGCATATGCTCAATATTCGAATACAACCCATGTGAATTTTATTCGAAGTGGTTACATTCAAGAAAATGGACTATTCCAGGGGCCGGGGGCCGAGCAGGCAAAAGTGATCCTGCACGTGCAAGGAGGGCTCGCCGCCCCCTAGAAGCCCCTGCCTGCAACCATTGGGCCCTTCATTACGAACAACTGGTATAACGAACCAAGGCGTAAATGACTCACGTGTATAAACGCAACCCTACTGGAAAACCTGGAAAAATTCCCGAAGTTGTATAAATGCGTCCCCTACTACTGGCTGCTAATTTCGCTGCCCCCTCAGCCCTCCGAACCGCTCTTCTTGGACAGAGCCACCTTGCTTGGGATCTTTGAGAACGCCATGTGATGTGAGTATCCCCGTGGCCCCCCAAAGCGTGTCAAGGCATTTCATATTTCATACAGTCTAACCTCCCTGCTATCGTCTAGACCGTCCTGGGGCAAGGTCCCACTTGCACGGATTACGAGTTTCTGACCGTTGATCTGTGCTATCTACGGTCAATCTCTCTTAATCCGTGCAAGTGGGACCTAGCCCCTGAACTGAACTGAAATCAGAGGAGACGAGCAAAATTCTTTGGCTCGAAACGGCCCCCGAATTTGTCGTTTTCCAATTTCTGGAAGAGTAGTATGACTCTGGCCCAGACAGGAAAGCCCAACTCGCCCTTCAGGGCATCCGTTAACTTGAATGACACGCATAGGGCCGCGCTCCAACGCTCACCCAATGTGCAAAATGGGAATGAATCTTACCGTAGAACTTGAGAAGATACGCCGTCACATGTGTTTTGTCTCATCTGGATTCGCTGAGCAGTGGACCGAGGCCCATATCGAGAAATGGTCCAAATCCGGAATAAAAAGGGAAACGAAAAAAGGAAAAAAAAAAAAAGAAAACCCAACTCGCCGTTTTTTTGTTTTTTTCCCCCCTCTCGGAGTTGACAAGTTTCTTTTCTTCGTTTTCGTCAGTGCTGAATCAACGGTTGCAAGGGTGTCCTGTTCGCGCAACGGCAAAGGGGCGGCGGGGTTACTGTAGTTGTTTTAGACAGGCGGCGGGAGGGGGGAGGGGGAGGGGGAGGGGCTGCTTTTGCATTGCACTACTCCCCATCCGCCAACAACATTTTGAATGCATATGGACATGAGTGGGTCCAGATGCTTTCAAAATGTTGTTGGATGGGGAGTGTGCAACTACTGCTATTGCTAGTAGTAGGCCCAGAGAGACGGGACCTCAGCGCAAGGGGAGGGCGGAAAGTAGCGCCGAAATGCAGAGGTGGGCCCGTCTGTCGTATGTATGACCCCACGAGTGCAGGGGCCGTAGCGCAGCGCAGCACGAAAGAAAGAAAAAGAGCCCGAAAGAAAAGGGGAAAAAATACCAAAGGCGGGCGGAGGTGGGGGCGGTACCCTCGCCGGGGGGTTGAATCGAGGTTTTCGAGGTAGAGAGAGAGAGAGGGAGAGAGACGGAGAGAGAGGGAGAGAGAGGGAGAGAGGGGTCGCGGCAAGAGCACGTAGTATAGGGCGGCGGGGGTAGGGACGTGGGCGGGAGGTAGGGTTGAGAGAGCGTCGTCGACGAAAGACTGCCTTGGGCGGGCAAATGCAAAATGCAAAAGGCACAATTGTATATATTTTTTTTAATACTTACAATTGTAATTGTAAATTGTAATCACGACAATGATAAAGTGCGGGAATAGGGCCACAGTAGGTAGGTGGAGGGCAGCGAGGGTCGAGTCCATGTGGGGGTCAGTCAGTCTACGAGTACTATCGAGTGCGATCGAGTATATATTTTATTTCCGAACGTTGCAAGGCGACGACAGACGAGCGGTCTGCTCACCCGTCTCTCACTCAACTCACATAACGTTTGTTGTTGATTCATTCGTTGGGTGCGTGGGAAGAAGTTGTCTTTAGCGAAGAGGTTGACAGCAGGCACGCGTTGGTGGCACGCGCCGCGCCGTGTTCGTTGGCTACGTTCCTTTTATTTTGTAGGCTATGTTATGTTTACGGCTTCTTGAAGAAAGAAAGGGTCCGTCCGTCAACTGTAGTAGTAAGAACGACCGAAGGAGGAGGCGCAAGGGACACAGATCTGTGGCAGCCTTTCCAGCTGTAGTAGAGTAATGTGGGGGTCGGGTAGTCAGTACAACACTTGCTCCCTGTGTGCGTGTGTGTATGGCCGTGTGTGTGTGTGTGTTTGTGTGTGTTGTGTCGCTCTTCCACTGTCCTGTCTTTCGATGGGCGCGGGGAAGGAAAGAAAGTAGTTGACGCCGATGATGGCCCGTCTCTATCTGTCTCCTCCTCCCTTCCATCCTTCTGTCTAGGTGACCCTGGTATCGATCCTTCGCCGTCTTGCCTGGAATCGTCTTCACATCGCCCTCATCGGCGATTCGTTCTACGTTCCTCCCCTGCATCACCGGATTTTGAAGATGCTATAGAGCGCTTCTGTTCTTCTTCTTCGTGGTTTTGAAACCAGCGGTGTTCGGTGTCCGAGGTGGATGACCTCAGGTTCCTCCGATCTATTTCCTCATTCGCGTCTCTTCCTCTCTTTACTTTGTCCCTCTCTCGATCTGGAGTGGCGGCGACCCATTTCTGTGCTGCTATCGTATCGCAGCGACATCTTCGGTGGTTGATGGGTGCTGCTGGGCTTGTGTGAGAGCTGGTGTGCCCTCTGTCTGGTCTGGGGAACTCGAGTGCGCGTTGTCGGGCAGCAACTTTGCCTTGAGCTGATCGCTCTGTTTCCCAGAGGCTGTCAGAAGGCGAAGACGACCAAGAAAGTGGTAGGTGTAGACGAAGGCCGTCCGGCATGTGTGGGGGTACGGAGTACTCTAGTTCCGTGGCCGCGGTGTGCAGAGCATCGGACGAAGCTATGGGAGATCATGGGCTGGAAGTTGGTTCGCGGAAGCCGCTCAGTCCGGGGGCTTCCATAGAGAAGGCGGGATCGCGGGAGAACAGCAGGATATCGCTGTTGGAGCTGGCGGCGAACAACGACCTCGACGGCTTTCGCCACGCTGTCGAGGTCGAGGGGGCGCAGGTGGACGAGCTGGGCAGCTGGTATGGGCGGCAAAACGGCACGAACCAGATGGTTCTGGAGCAGCGGACCCCGTCGATGATCGCGGCGTTGTACGGGAGTGTGGATGTGCTGAGTTACATTCTCTCGTTCTTCGATGCGTGTGGCTGCGACATTAATCGCAAGTGCGGGGTGGACGGGAGCACAGCGCTGCACTGCGCGGCGGCGGGGGGAACTCCGCGCGCAGTGGAGACTGTGGCTCTCTTGCTGCGCTGTGGGGCGGACCGCGACTCGCTGGACAACCACGGACGGAGGGCGGTGGACGTCGTCTTCACTCCGAAGATGCCTCATATCAAGGCTCATCTTGATCGGCTGTTGAGGCCTGACTCCTCCTCGCCTTCCTCTTCCTCTTCTTCTTCTTCTTCTTCTTCTGCAGCAATCAGCGTTCCTTCCTCCTCTAGTCTGTCCCGTCAGTCTCTGTCTCCTGCCGGGCTGAATTCGAGTACCAGTAGCTCGTTCCATGATAACTCGACGGCGGCCGTCGCCGTGGCTTCTCTTCCGTTTTCTTCCGTCTCTTCTCCCCCCACTCCGAACGGCTGCGACGTGACGCGAGGGAAGCCGTCGTTCTTGCAGCTCTCTTCCAACGGGTCGGCCTCGTCGTCAGATTCTGCCCATCTAATGGGCGGGGGCTCTTTGTCGAATGGGGGGAGCAGTGACGGCTCTCTTCCGGATGTGAAGAGCAGTATTTACGCCACCGACGAGTTCCGGATGTACAGCTTTAAGGTGAAGTCGTGCTCTCGCGCGTACAGTCACGACTGGACGGAGTGCCCCTTCGTGCACCCTGGGGAGAATGCGAGGAGGCGCGATCCGAGGAGGTATCACTACAGCTGCGTTCCTTGCCCTGACTTCCGGAAGGGTTCCTGCAGGCGCGGCGACAGTTGTGAGTACGCTCACGGCGTGTTCGAGTGCTGGCTGCACCCGGCGCAGTATCGAACTCGCCTTTGCAAAGAGGGGTTGAAATGCACACGGAGAGTGTGCTTCTTTGCGCACACGTCGGAGGAGCTCCGCCCTCTGTACACCACCTCCGGCTCGGCCACGTTGCCTTCTCCAAGATGCACTTCGCCGATCGATATGAGGTCACTTTCTCCTCCGTTGCCGCCCCCGTCCCCACAGTCCGTTCTGTTTCCCTACTCTCCGGCAACGTCGCCGTCGGGGCTGCCGACCCCTCCTCTCTCTCCGAGCACCTCCTCTTCTCTGTCCGTCTGGAGTCCTAACGTGCAGTCGTCCGTTCCCACACTTCATTTGCCCACCGGATTGCACGCGGCGCGGGTGCGAGGGCTCCAGGCGGCGCAGGCCCAGGCGCAGGCAGCCGCCGCTGCGAAGGTCCGAGCGGACGGGCACCGTTCTTCCGCCGGACTGGAGCCGGATGCTGATAGACTGGTTGATTTGGCCGCTTTGTCGATCAGCCGCGCATCCCCCGTGCCATCCGTGTCATCGCCGTCTTCGTCGAGCGCCTTGACTGCCAGGATTGGCCACGCCTTGCATGCGAACTTCCCGAACGTTGCCGGGGGACTCCAGATGAGCAATGCGAGTTTGGACAGTCTCATTTCGTCGGCGGCGGCGGCGGAGAGCGCGGGCGCACTTGGCGGCTCGAGCGCCGCCGCGGCGCTGCAGTCCGTCCTTCAGTCCCGGCAGCAGCAGCAGCAGCAGCAGCATGCCCATCAGCATCAGTGGAGGTTGAACGGCTCCGTCAGCCCTCTCTCGTCGCCGATCCGTCGGTCCGTTTCCGCAAGGTATAGTTCGTCGGAACGCGATCAGTCTCTCATCGCTCTCTCACCCTCTCTTGCCGCTGCGGTGTTGAACAGGAAGCACTCGTTCTCTGGGCATGAGAAGTACTTGGACTCTCAGTGGAGAGTCTCGGCCAACGGGGGGCCGGCGACGACGACGGCGGAATCGTCGTTCCTGAACCTCGGCGGATGTTCCGCGTCGTCCATGATGACGTCGAGCACCACCTCCTCGGGCGTGGATCTTTCCGACTGGGGTTCCCCCACGGGGAAGTTGGACTGGGGAGTCAGCAATGAGCAGTTTGCGCGGTTCCGCAAGTCCACGTCGTATCTGCCATCGCTCTCCTCGAGAGCTTCTTCGCTTCTCTTCGACGAGCCGATTCCGGACTTGACGTGGGTGCAGAAGCTTGTTCGCGAAACTGCCGGCGAAGCGACGGCGGACTGCGCGGCTTCGGCGGCGCTGGAATGTCTTCCGCGGGAAAGCTCTATGGAGAGAATAATGGCTGGAAGGTGGGTGGATCCTCTGCTGCAAGAACGCGTGGCCTAGCTAGATGGGTAGGGCAGGGAGGACCCTTTTCTTTCCTTCGCCGTCGGAAATTGGCGGCGGTGTTGAAATGTGTACTGTTGCTGTAGTGCAGTGATGTGATAGTGTTCAGGTGAATTCATTCTTTGTGTCTGGAAGAGAAATCTCAGCCAGCCAGCCAGCCAGCCAGCAAGCAGATGACTTCTGAAGCGAATGGCGGGAGAGGTCTGCCTGTGAGAAAGACGTTTTGGAGGTCGAGAGGAGTGGAGAGGTGTGATGAGCAAAAAGAACCGAGTGTTTGGCTCCGCTATTCAGTCTCTTGTGAAAAGTGCGCGTGGCATGGAGTAAGGGAGAGAAGAGAGGTCCTGTGGGAGGATGTTAAAGGTAAGGAGGAGAAATGTGATTGAGATTTGTTGACTCGGCTTGACACGTTTCCTCCCCCTCCGCATGTAAACGTGGGGAGGGAGTTGTGATAAGTCTCGTCGGTCCGTATCGTTCGTTCGTTCGTTTGGATATGCCTGCGTAGAAGATTAGGTGAGATGGCTCCTAAGATAAGATTGACAGGTGATTTCGTTCCGTTGCGTTCTGTTTCTGTCATCGGTTTATTGTTGTGGATGTTTCTTTGCCGCTCATTCAGTAATGGGTGGGCGGAACATAAAGATGTAGTTTAATCTTGATGTTTGAGCAGTCTTATCATCATCGTGATTGATTGATTGATTGAGATCCCGCTGGTGAATTATGTGGCGGGAGGAGATTATTATTATGATGATGATGATTGATGAGAAGCGTATCGCGATTGACTTGTTATCAGAATCTTGACGTTTAGCAAAAGAGAGGGAGGGAGGTATTATTAGTGACGACAACGATAATGATGGATGGTGCGACCCGTCTTGTGAAAAGCCATTCCTGTGGGCCGTTCATTGAGCCTTGAGCAGCGTTAGTGATAGTGATGCTGATTTTGATGATGATGATGATGATGGAGATAAAGACAGTTTTTGACATGTTGGGATTGTTGAATGCCTCGATTCATTTTGATATTAGCAACCTTTTCCTTTTCCGTTTTCAAAATTCCCTGTTGAGATTGGAGTATATTTTTCCGAGATCGTCTTCGATGATCTATGTGACATTTCGTTCACCGAGGTTCGGACTTGATATGACCACATCCGTTTCCTCGGTTTTCGTTCGTTCGTTCGTTGGATACGTTGAAATTATTCTTCCATTTTGACGATATGCCTTGATGATGATTAACACCAGCCAGTCTTCTTCACGCAATCGGGGCCTTCTGATCGAGGTTTGGCTTCAACTTCCGCCTCGGCGATCCGGTTGATGATATGACGGGAGGCGTTCGAAATCGATCTATCATACGAGTTATGTTGTGTCGTCGTCCTTCTCCCGCTATTAAGAATGGTTTTAAATGTTGACGAGAGTATAATCTTTTTCTTTGCTGAGTTGCAGACCGTCCTTCGCCGCCATCCTATCGTCATTTGCCGGCATGGTTGGTCATTGTAGCAGCTTTGTTGGACTACAGAGATCGGATAGAATATTTGGCGTTTGCCCCCAACCTTTGAAGGGGTCGGCGGTAAGTGCGTGCTCGCGTACGGATCCGATTCGTTCGTCGCTTCTTGGCGTTCTTAACGGCCACGGCCGGGGGAGGTTGTGTTTTGCGCGGCGCACCTCATATAAGGCGAAAGAATGTTAATTGAGTCGGAAGGGGTTTCAAAGATCGAGTATATGCTTGAAGCTGTCGTTTCCTAGAGATGATGGTGAATGTTATCTTGGGTGGGTCGGTGGGTGGGTGGGTGGGTGGATAACACTACCCGGGGCACTGGGGAGAGGGGTGCTTGATAGATATTTTGTTCATCCTCGGACGTCAGAGGGAAGAGGAGGCTATAAAATAGAAAGTACTTGATTTTTGAAGCGTCCTGCTGTTTCGGAAGGCTTTGGAATGGCGCGATTGATACCCGTTCTGGAAGCTGCTTTCATTTTCGTTTCGCGTTTGACAGGCAGGGTTATTTTTTGGGAGTGGGGTGAGAAGCAGGCGATACAAGGAGAGGAAGGGGCGGAGGGTGTGTGGTGTGTGTGTACGTGGGTGGTGGAGACGCCGTCGGTCGACGTGCGGCTTATTCATTCTTTAACTCAATTCTTTTTGGGCAGCAGATCAGTGGGTAGAGCGCTTGTTCTTGGTGTGAATGAAGATTTATAACGACGTGACAATGTTGTCCGATGTCCTAGGAAGGATCGGGCAACACCTACTCATTTGTGTGTGTGCGTGTGTGTGACGATCGTGTGCGATCGCGCGGCTTTTCTTGGGATTGTCGGATACGGTTCGGCGGCGACGTAGGCGAAGTCGGTCGGCGGCAGTAACGAGGCCGGGAGGGGACCACCTCCCTCTCTGTGGTTTGGGGCTGTCTTTTTCGTACGGCGCGCAGTTGTATAGCATGTTTTCACATGGCAGGACTCCGAAGCAACGAAGTTGGGTCGGTCCTCGATGTCTGGGTATATGCCGCGTGTTCTCGTCGGCCGGCGCTCTTTCGCTGTGTGCGAGATTGGTGACAGCCTTGCGGTGGCGGCGGAGTCGAGATGAGCACTGCAGATTGTTTTGCTCTATGGTGGCAAGAGAGCCTTTCAGTTGTCTGAAGGGCGTTAGTAGTTGTGACGACTATGGAAAAGACCGCAGCCTCGAGCGTATGATGCTTCTTGTGGTGTAGTTTATGTTCTTACGAGTAGAAGTTCGTGTATGTATGTGGTCGGGAGGCCAGGTAGATCCATCGTACCCGCCGGACTTGTTGCTCGCACCTTTGTGATTTCTCAGGTGATAATCAGTGTGTTTTTGTATGTGTGCTTGTTGCAAGATTATGGTGGTAAGCGAACTAGTGTATGTAGCGCGAGCGTGAATGCTTGGCAGCGTGTGCGCCGCCGTTGATGCGCGACATCGGAGAGCTTTTTGGGTGGCTCATTTTTTTGACGCGGAAGGCGGGCGCGGTCTGTCTCTCTGTTGGGAAGGAATTGGCTTACGCCGTGTCCGCCGAAGTGTAGGGGAGGCGGCGTGCATTCTCGCGCCGTCGATGGGTGGGTTGGTCAAGTGCGAGAGGTTTTCATTATGCAGGCAAGCAGGCTTTTAGAGTGAAGGCGTGTGTTTTGGAGTTGGCTTATGACGAACAGTAAGCACATTTGTCCATTATATAGTGCATGATTCCAAATTGGGGGAATTAGGGTGTGTGTGCCGATGCCTGAGGGTATAACGACGATGGGAGGAGTGAGAGAGAGTGCGGAGGGTGGGTGGTTGGTTATCTATCTCTGACCGCCCTCTCTTCGAGGTGCTAGGTCTCGCGGTATTCGACCAGCCGTCCTTCCCCCCCGATGTAATCAAGAGAGACCGAACCGGAGGTGGACAGCCCCTGTCCCGCAGACCCACAGCATCGGAGCGTCGAAGATCGCCTCTTGGATCGCGGTCCGCGGAAGCCTTGAAGCCTTGGTTGGGAGAATGTCTGAAGAGAGTCGGAAATGGAGAGGCATACGGGGTGGAGTCGAGGGGTGGGTGAGCGCGATCGGGATCCCTTGTCTTCTGAGCCGCCATCAACGGTAGCGACAGGCGGTATGCGTCGTGGTCGATTTACGACGGCAGGGTAAGCTGACGCTGTGCGGCAGGGTGAGCGGACGGTGTGCGGCGCTGCGCGAGCTAGGAAGACGGAGAGGAAGGCGGAGAGGAGGGGAAGTGGGAGCAGGGGGGGGTGAGGTGTGTTTGGGCGGGAAGCCCTCTCTTGAGAGGGAGGGGAGTCTCCATCTGCATGACGCTAGATGGTGGGTGAACTATGAGGGAGACGCGCGTCGTGCCTGCGTAAGTTAAGAGCGCGCATATCGGTGAAGAAATGGGGCGGATGGTGGTAGATTTCGTTTCTGTGGGGGCAACGTTCTGTGGAGATAAACGGGGCGGCAGACCTCGAGAAAAGCGGGGGCGGGAGGGGGCGGAAAAGGGGAAGGGGAAGGGGAAGGGGAGTGTGCGGGGCCCGACGAAAGCGGCGCCGACCTTTGTGTGTACAACATTCAACAACTGCCATTATTTCTTGATTGTAATTTTTCCCTATCTAAATGTATATACAGCTTTCGATGAATTTGTCGAATTCTTGTCCTCACCAGTGTGAGGTGGTGGTGGAGCAAATATGTCGTTTGTGTTGAGGGAGGGAGGGAGAGTGACGGCGTGTGTGGATTAACGACCGTGCAGGCGTAGGTAGCTTATTGAATCGAATGTGTCCCAGATTCAGCGGGAAGCAATTAGTGGGGGTTTTGGGGGGTGACCGATAATGATGATGTTTAGTTTCTTTGCTCGTTCATCGTACGGGCTTTTTCAGATACGGCATTGGGGAATTCAAGAGTTTTTAGTGAAAGAGATAGACACAGGGAGAGACAGAGACAGAGAGAGAGACGGAGATGGTGGTGATGAAAATCTTTCTTTGATGTTTGGTAAATATGTAAGTCATTGATTGACCAAAATTGTGATCTTGTTTTCAGTGTAATGAATCTCCCCCCCGACGTCTCTTTCGTCTCTTCTTCTCGGCTGTTTCCTCGACCTAGTTCTTGTTTTGAGTGTGTGTCAATTTTTTTTTTTTTTTTTTTTTCGCGTGTCAATTTTCATTTCTCGTTGTATTCCTTTCCTGTAAGTGCTTTACCCCCCCCACACCCCGGGAAAATTGGTCCTCCTTTGCGAAAATTGGTCCTCCGTCTCCTGGCCCATTTGCGTGCTTGTAAGATCGGCACGAAGGTCACAACAGCTTCTTTCAAATTTTGAGCGAAAATTTCTCGCTGAATATCTCGCTGAATTTGTCGCTGAATCTTGATTTTGTTTTTGAGGGTTTCCCTTCTTTCCCTCTCTTCTTTGTCTCTTTCTCTCGTTAGTTTCCTGAATGCATCTTGGTGCGATTTCTCATTTGTGGCCGTAGCAGCTGTCCTGTTGTGGTCGTCGCTTGTCAAAGTTGGATGTTTTTCACAATTTTTTCACACTGTGTTACTGCCATGCATGTATATGCTGTTGCGCGCTAATTAGGCCGTCTTGTGTCGTGTAAGATTTGTCTTTTCCCGCTCTTCGACATGGCTGTCAAGATGGCTGTTTGTTGTTGCTTGCGAGTGCGTACTCGGAATGGATGCGTTGTTGTATGCGTTGTTGTGCAAGGATCTTTCTTAAGGTTTTTGTCCATGGTAGAAGTGGGAGGGGTGGTAGAGGTGGGGGAACAACTGGAGTCGGGTTCTTTTCTGCTTATTTTATTAATTTCTCAAAGTTTGATTGCTTTGTTTATTTCTCAAAATGGCAAGGGTTGATTGAAGTTTGCAATCCGACGCGTGGCTGTCTTGAACAACGAGTTTTGTCTATGATTGAGCGAAAGTGCGGTCGTTCTGAATTTTGATGACCGTTGAACAGGACGAAGGTGTATGGATTACTTTTTTTTTGTTTTTTGAAAGGACGACGGCCTAGAGATATAGTATCATTGAGCTGACCGGCCCCAGGCAATTCTTTAGTAATTGGTTTTAATCGTCATGAAGTTTCATCATCTGGATTCGAACACAGGTCTGTATTTCAACAGTTCATGTTTTTTTTTTTTTTTTTTTTTTATCTTACTTGATGGGTGTTCCCACTGAACTAGGCTTTGCTCTTGCTTTTGTGTTTTTCTTTTCGAGTTCTTTGTAATATCGGATTCCACGGTGGCGTGCGTGTACGTGCATGTGGATGTGAAAAAAACGTCGGATTCCATACTTGTGGGTGTGAAAACGTCGCGCAATCTCTCTTTTCTTTCTTACCGGCGTATGCATCTGGATTTTGCCGTTGCTGCCAGCTATGATGATGTGCTGCAACGTGTGAGCAAGCGTGTGCCAAATCTGACGAACACAAATTTCATTCCGTATGTGGTGATGCCTTTGTCCTCTGCGACTATTGTACGAGGCATTGTACAAGGCATTGTACAAGGCGTGTGCAAATGGACTGTAGGTGTGTTACTCATTTTTCTTTTCCTTAACGAATTCAATGACGAGGGAATTCAGCGTGTTATATATATATATAGAGCGCGAAGAAGTAGGGATTTTTGTGGACTTGTTTCTTTTCAGGCCGTCGAATTCGTCGTAGGCGTTGGATGATCGACGAAGTTGAAATCGACGACGGGGGAAGGCGATGACGTGCGGGAGTAGTTAGTTTCACCGTAAGTCATCGTGCCAAGGTGCTAAATAGCAGCAGTGCGCGATAGCTGGGAACGTCATCTCACTCTCGCTTTCTTGCTCTCTCTCTCTGTCTCTCTTGTTTTTTCTTCTTTCCCTTTCTGATTCATGCGCGTCATCATCCTTGCGCGCAGCGGATATGATGCTAATTTTCCCTGTGTCGTTGTTTCGAACGACCTGTCGTTCTCTTTTGTCGGAGGACGATGTAGCTGGTGGAATGATGTTGGGGGCAAAAAGGATGAACGTTTCTTACGGATTTCGGTCAGGTTTTGCTAGGAAATATCTGGTCTCTGTGTGTTTTCTGTGGAGAAACTTCGTCTGTGCGAGAGGCGAGTTGGCCGAGACTGTGCTGGAGCGATCGAGGACGAATGTGCTTGTAGAGAGATCATGAACGTTGTCTTTTCTTCTCGGCTTAAAAAAAATACAGCGTTTTTTTCTTTCTTCTTCTTCTTCTTTATGCGTGTCATCCTTGAAAGCGCAGGGGCCATGCTAATCTTCCTTCTCTGTATCGTTCCAATTCTAATCGATGTCCCGAAGGACTATACTGCGTTTTTTGCCCCGACCGTGTTCATTGTTCCTTCATTGTTCGTTCATTGTTCATTCGTTGTTCATTGCGTGTCTTCCTAATGAAGGAACACGTACGTGCGTAGTGGACGGGGGGGGGGCGGAGGGGGTAGGTGGAGGTGAAGGGGTTTAAAATTTGTAATGATCACCTGTTTTGCCCCGTCGCATCTCGTAATCTGTCAGGGTCCTATGTGTGCGAGTATTCAGACGTACTTTGATGGAACGTTCGCAGTCTATTCAGACAGAAAATACTATCCCTTTGTGCGCGATCCTTGTAATAGTCGAGTGATTGGTTCACTTTTTCCTTGCTATTGACAATCTCACCTCTTCTCGGCAGATCTGTTTTTCTTTTTTCTCGGGGTGGGGGAGGGGGTGGAGAGGGGCGATGGGGGGTCGTGGCCGTGTATTGAGATTATGTAGCTGTTGTGGAGCTTTGTTATGCCTTTTCTTTTATGTTTTCGGTTCTGTAGGCTGTTGTGTTGTGCTAATCTTTCTCTCTTTATAATCGTCATCATTGAATGAGCAGGAGGGACGTGCTAATCTTTTGTTCTCGATTCTGTGAGCCGTGCATTGTATCTCGATCCTTTGGATGAACACAGGGAAGGGAGTGAGGGAGGGAGGGAGACTTGCTCATCTTTCCTTCTCTTCAACGTCCCTTTTTTTTTTTTTTTTTTGTGAAGTTATTGCTTTTCTGTTACTGTTTTGTTGGACCGTTTAGTCCCTTTTTTTAAATTTAGTTTGCACCATTTCGACCCTTTTTTCCTTTTTTCTTAATTTGTTTTTTTTGTACCATTCCGTTCCCCTTCTTAATGTTTTTTTTTTTTTTTCCAATTATTTTGTCCCTTTTTTTTTGCGATGTTTTGTTAGACCATTTCTTGAATTATGCTTGTCCCCCTGAATTTCGCGGGGGGGGGGRGGGGGGGGGAGAGGGGATGCTAATTAATTAATCGCCCTTCTCTGTTTGGTTCCAATTTTCATGGATGTACCCCAAAAGGCGATCGTTCCAATCATCCATCCCAACCCTCGTGGCAAAGGACTGATAGGGTGCCCCCTTGTTCTTCGATTGTCGTAGACTCTCTTTCGTGGCGAAGCTCTTTACTCGTCAGCCAGCTCTCTCTCTCACGGTGTTGTACTCACACTGGAATGGGACTTTTTCTGAACGTATTGGACCGCAATTACGGCCGCATTTGTATGCATGCATCTGGTCGCAATGACGTCCAGAGTCCTAAAAGTCCCTCCTCCTGTGAATACGACCTTTTCGCGAACTCTGTGCCATATACCTGTGCCCGTCATCAGCGGTTGGGGCCAAAAAGTTGATTTCTGTCCTTTCGCGGGACATCCGTTAAAATTGGAACGATACAGAGAGAAGGGTAAACTAGCAAATGTCCCCTGCGCAAGGATGACACGCATAAATCGAGAAAAGGGAAAAAAAAAAAAAAAAAGAAGTTGATTTCAGAATGCTCGACCGCGAGAGCAGAGGCCATTGGACGACCGACGCACCCAGAAGCCGCGACCCACGAGCCGGGGGCAAGTCCCATTACTGTAGCAGCGTTGAGCTACCTCAACGCCTGAATCTGGACGTGTTTGCGGAGATGTGCAGAAATGGTGTTGAGTTTGCTGAACTCTGCACGTCTCTGCAAACACGTCCAGATTCAGGCGTTGTTGAGGTATAGCTCAACGCTGCTGCAGTAGTGGGACTTGGCCCCTGTAGTGTGATCTTTCGTTCCTTGCCGTTATTTCTGGTACGCACGCAGGAAGCGTAGGAAGTGTTATTAATGGGCCAGATCCCACTGGCAAGGACGATTGGAATAAGTGTCTGAATCTGGACGTGTTCGACGCAGACATGCAGAAAAGCAGAACAATCACAGTTTCCTGCACTTTGCCACAAACACGTCCGGATTCAGACACTTGTTCGAGTCCCCTCTCTGCCAGTGGGATCTGTACTCTTTAGACTTGTCGCAAACAAGCGTGTATGTATTTTAGCCACGATGGACGATTGTTGAGTGCTTTCTTTTTTTTCTTTTTTTCCCGAAAAGTGGTGTGTTGTTTTTCTTTCACCTTTTTTTATCTGCTCCCTTTTCTTTTCTTTTTTTTTTTTTTTTAATTTTTCTTTTTTGTATTTTCCGTAGCAAGAATATTCATATAAAAAAAAAATCATATCGGAAGCTTTTTTTTTTTTTTCGTAAACTTTTTTTTTCTCCTTGTCAAAAAAAAAAAAAAAAAAAAAATCTTCTCCATATGCTGGCCGGGATACACGTGTAGCCTCCCAAATAGAAGTCAAATTTCTGTTGCCCGATCGCCCAACGACCCTCTTCCAAAATTCGGTACGATTAACGAAAAGTCTTCTGTTTTCTCATCCTCCCCCCCCCCCTCACTCCCTCATCTCTCTCTCTCTCTCTCTCTCTCTCTCTCTCTCTGTGTGTGTGGTTGAATAAGACAGGAGAATACCTCGTCTGTGCTTTTTTTTTTTTTTTTTTGAGTCTGTGCTTTTTCCTATATGGGGTAGAGAGGAAAGAGACGAAAAGGGGGGGGCCTCGCCGCACGGCTCTCGACATGTGGAAAAGTCGAAAATGCGGCGGGCGTATCTGTCCTTGTTCGACTGGGAAGTTCATTCTAATTCGTTTGCACAAGTTCGAGAGTGGTGTGTGGCGATGCCTGCCCTCTTCAAAGTCTCTCCCTGACTCTCGAAGTGTGCAAACAAATGAGAAAAATGAACCTCACGCTAAAACATGGCCAGATGCACCCGCCACATTTTGGTCTTTTCCAC